GGCATGTAGGCAAAACATAATACATTCACAGATTCAGGCTCACTCTTTTGGTAGTCCAATTTGTACCCAAACATTAAAAATAATAAATATGTGAATTATACATCTTAGATAACCCTACTAATGCAAACTTTAATGCCAACTATGATAGATTCTGAAGTCACCTAATTGATTCTTTAGAGGACATTTGAGAACATCTGGCCTAGAAAACTAGTATCAGCAAGTCTTTTGAAAATACTTTTATTTGTTTTTCATTCTATTAGAAAGACAGAGATAACTGGGCCAGGCTGAAAACAGGCATCTGGAACTCAGCCCAGGGCTCAGGGACCTAAGTGTGTGTTTTCCAGAGTCTGATTGGAAGCACAACTTTTGGAACTGAAATCCAGTTCTCCCATATTAAATATGGCATCCTATCTGACAATTGCCATACCAAATGCCCACCCCTCGGCTAATCATAAGTGTAGGTAACAAAAGCTGAGGATCACTCTGAGTGTGTCCTGCATATTATTCTAAGATCAGTGCAGCCAGGGATGGCGATGATGGGTCGCTACCAGAAGCTAATTTTGAGAAAACACCGTCACTATCCATAAGACCTGAGGGTCCCAAACAAGTACACTATATACAACTAATTCTAGGACAGCATACATATATATGAGAGCAACATAAACAAAATAGTTTATGCTAATTGAGGATGAATAGTATAGTACACATAGGAGAACTGGAGTCTTTAAAAAGGCAACATCATTCCATTTCCTTAAATAGTACTTTAAATTATTATAAACAATGCTTTTTAAAGATTTATTTATTTTTATTGGAAAGCCAGATGTACAGAGAGTAGGAGAGACAGAGAAAAGGTTTTCCACCCGATGGCTCACTTCCCAAATGACTGTAACAGCCAGAATGGTGCCAATCCAAAGCCAGGAGCCAGGAGTTCTTCTGGGTCTCCCATGCAGGTGCAGGGTCCCAAGGCTTTGGGCCATCGTCAACTCCTTTCCCAGGCCACAAGCAGGGAGCTGGATGGGAAGCAGGGCCGCCGGAATTAGAACCGGTGCCCATATGGGATCCTGGAGTGTGCAAGGTGAGAACTTTAACCACTACACTATTGCTCCAGGCCCATATTATAAACAATTTTTATAAATACAAAGCAAATTAGGCTCTAAGTCTTCCTCGTTCCTAGTGTTTTTTTTTTTTAAAGATTTAGTTATTTATTGGAAAGTCAGACATACAGAGAGTAGGAGAGACAGAGAGGAAGATCTTTCACCCGCTGGTTCACCCCCAAAAGTGGTTGCAACAGTCAGAGAGGTGCAATCTGAAGCCAGGAGCCCAGAGCTTCCTCCAGGTCACTCACCCAGGTGCAGGGTCCCAAGCGTTTGGACTTTCCTCGACTGCTTTCCCAGGCCACAAGCAGGGAGCTGAATGGGAAATGGGGCTGCTGGGATTAAAATGGTGCCCACATGGGATCTGGTGCATGCAAGGCAGGGACCCTAGCCACTAGGCTACCACACCAGGCCCCTTAGTGGTGTTTTTTAATGCCAATCTATAACATAATTTGGATTATTTGAAAAACACTCTTTAAAAATACCTGTCATTCACTTACCCTGGATCTTGTTTTTCAATTTTACTCATACATATTAAATGGCTTTTTTATGTTTCGTATATTACATACCACAAATCACAGAAAATGTATGATTTTTGTTTTTTGGTGTCTGGCTTATTTCACTAAGTTTAATAGTTTCAAGTCAGAATCATTTTGCCAAAGACAGGATTTTTTTTCTTTTTGTGCCTGTGTAGTGTTCTGTCATATGCAGCATTCCAATAAGCTAATAATTCATGAATTATTAATAACCAAGTAGTAGCCAAATAATTTAATGTAACCTAATACTGCCTCAGTGCCCCTGGATTCAAATCACAATATTATAACATGACATACTTAATGCAAAAATAAGAAGACATATGGGATTTGTGCAAATATCTAACAACAAAAATCTTTAATTCTTTTAGAGTTGTTTTACATATGGCAAGGAAAAAATGCACATATATATGGATTAAGAATGGTAGGCCAGCATGCTGGTTCAACTGGCTAATCCTCCACCTCCAAACATTCGCATCCTATACGGCCACTTGTTCATGTGCCAACTGCACCACTTCTGATCCAGTTCCCTGCTTATGACCTGGGAAAGTAGTGGAGCATGGCCCTAGTACTTGGGAAAAACTTCCTGGGTCCTGGCTTCAGATCAGCTCAGCTTTGGCCATTGTGGCCACTTGGGAAGTGAACCCGTGAATGGAAGATATTTATCTCTGTGTTTTCTTCTCTCTTTTATTCTGCCAATCTGCCTTTCCAAAATAAAAATAAATAAATCTTTAGAAAAAAGGAATGGAAAAAGTGTGGAGAGGAGAAACAGAAAATCAGTGGCTAAAAGGAGTAATTATAGATAAAGAATACCTTTCTCAAAACCATCTGAATTAATGTGATAATATTCACTTTGATACAAAGAAAATACAGAAAAACACAAGTAAGAAAATAGAAACAGTCAATAATCCTACCATCTACTCAAGAAATACTTCGATTATTATTAGCAAGGCAGATTTACAGAGAAGGGAGAGAAGGAAAGATATTTCATCCACTGACTCACTTCCCCAAATGGGTGCAATAGGCCAGAGCTGAGCCAATCTCAAACAGGAGCCAGAATCTTCTTCAGGGGCTCCCTGCAGGTTCAGGATCCCAAGATTTTGGGACATCCTCTGCTGTTTTCTGGAACATACTCAGGAAGCCGGATGGCAAGTGGGGCCACTGGGACACGAACCAGTGCCCATATAGGATGCTGGCGTTTCAAATAGAAGACTGGCGAATTTCATCAGCACAACAACCATGAGAAACACTCCTAAAATTTTTGGACCATTTGCTTCCTATCTTCTCACTGACTTTAACATGCGTTTTTCTTAAATATCATCCAGTTTAATTTTTAGTTAGTTCTTAACATGTTCATTGCAATTTGTAGATATAATTCTAAGAGCTTAATGATAATACCTTCTACCCTCATTTCCACCTTTCCCTCTATTTCTTTTTGCTTGTTAAGTTTTTGAGATAGCATAGTTTAAATTACTCATGCCATAAATATTCATCTAAAGCATGAGCGTAATGACAATATAATATTATATTATATGAATAGATTAGAATTTATTCTGTATGTTGTCTAATTTCCTAGGTCATTTCTAATCTTTTGTTGAGATAACAAATTTTTAATCATTTTAGTCATAATTTTTATTTATCTGAAAGAGACAGAAAGGAGCAGGCAGAGAGGGGTACAGGTACTGATTCTTTCTCCAAATGTCTGCAAGAACCAATGTTGAGTCCAGCAGTAACTGGAAACCGAGAACTCCATCCAGGAGTCTCACAAGGTGACAGAGACTCACATATTGAACCACTTACTGCTTGCCAGGTTGCACATCAGCAGGAAGCAGGACTCAGAAGCAAAGCTTGGATTGGAAGTCAGGGCCCCAAATATGGGATGTGGATAGCCCAGACCACTGCTCTACTGAAAGCCTGATCCCAGTTCACTTTTATACACAAATTTGTCAGAAACTCATTATGCTGAGAACAAAATATAAAAGGAAGAACAAATGGCAGAAAATAAAATGAAAATACATCTAAGGCTTTTGACAATATGCCCAAATGGACCTCCAAAGAAGTGTTCAAATGAACATTCACACTGGCAAATAAATGAACATTTTTTGTGTTTGGGGTCTTTTTTTGCAAGAGGAACATTGGTCATCATGACCAATTTAACCCAAAAATAATACTCTCTTATTTTACATTGCATTTGATTATTTGTGAGGTGATAATAAGGATTTGTCCAAATAATTAACTGTCCACTGTATGTCCAGGAGCACGAAAATGCCAGAATGTTACAAAATGTCCCCTTTCTCTACTGCTTTCTCTGTCTTCCCCAACCATATTCTCATTCTCCCTCTCTCTCTCCCTCTTTCTCTCTCTCTCTGTCTCTCTCTCCCTCTGTGTGTGTGTGTGTGTGTGTGTGTGTGTGTGTGTGTGTGTGTGTGTCTCATTTCAGTTTCCTACTCCACAGAATAGAGGAATATCTTAGAACCTGAACATTATATAATGGTTCATTTTCTACTACACATATTCAAAAGTATAATCAAACTTAGTTCTCATGCTATTTCCTTTGTTTGACTTTTGTATAATTGTAGGTTTCATTTCTTTTTCCTTTCCACTTAACGTGCAATACTAACAAATCTTGTCTCATTTTACTTTCCCTTTTTCATTTTAATTACCTAGGTGCTTCATAAGCGATAAACCTTCTGACTCTACCGATTTCCTAAAATGTAACCTCTGTGATCACAAACTATAATTATCTATACTTAATGTCATTTCTTTTCATAATAACATATCTGTCTGCATATTTTCATGACTTGAAAAAAGGTACATTAAATTTTCACCAAAAAATCTGAATAGATTCTCAGAAAATGTTACAATTCAATGAACATTCCTCTTCCAAAATAATTTTGACAATCACCAGGCATTAAGAGCATTTAAAAGTCAACAAACTTGGGCCCAGTGCAGTGGCCTAGTGGCTAAAGTCCTTGCCTTGCACATACCAGGATCCCATATGGGCACCAGTCCTAATCCCGACAGCCCCACATCCCATCCAGCTGTTTGTGGCCTGGGAAAGCAATCCAGAACAGCCCAAAGCCTTGGGTTCCTGCACCCAAGTGGGAGACCCAGAAGAGGCTCCGGGCTCCTGGTTTCGGATCATTGAAGCTCTGCTCATTGCAGTCACTTGGGGAGTGAATCAGCAGCTGGAAGATCTTCCTCTCTGTCTCTCCTCCTCTCTGTATATCTGACTCTCCAATAAAAATAAAATAAATCCTTTTTAAGGAGTCAATAAATCTACAATTTCATTGGGCTGTCCAAATGCACATGATATTCTTGGAACACAAGTGCCGCATAAGTGAGAACTATTTTTTTTCTTTTCTCTCTTCAGGAAAGACACCTTTCTACTATCATGTGAGCTTTAAAATCAACAACATCGACTATGACAGCAAGTTTAAAAAACCATACTCAGAAGAATATATGAGCCTAAATAAAAAAATAGTATCTGCGGTAAGTCGAAATTTTCTGTGCCTTGCCCTTTAAATGCCCAGTTCTTAGAAGCACTAGGACCTTACTCATCATCTTGCGACTTGGAAACAATTTTCTAATGCTACCTTAGCTCCAGGTTAGGAGAGTCAGCCCTTTCATTAAGTCAGTTAGCAAACAATTGCAGGAAAAAATAAAGACAGGTTTCAAGAACTCCAAGGAAATGCCTGATGTGTGAGACAGTCAATTATTGCTCAAATGAACAAATAGAAGGGAGGAATGTACGTGTGAAAATACATCAAAAAGTTCATGGACAATGAAACAAAAAAGATAACTTCCTTTCATTGCATGTAACAATCCATATATAGGAGGTGTCTTCAAAAAGTTCATTGAAACACCCTTTTGAAAACTCACATGTTTTAAAATTATTTTTTATGCCAAAGTAATCTTTCAATTCCATTTCTATACAAACTTTGTGAAGTATTTCCATATATTACACTTCCAGGAAGCATCACTAAGGATATATTGTTTCTGCTCCTTTTACTAGGTAGTCCTTCAAGCCAAAGGAAGGACCAAACAAAGATAGAATATATGGCCCAAAGCAAAAACCATCTTTTAAGTCCTTAAGGTTCAGTGAAAACTATGGAACAATTAAGAGCATGCATATACCTGAGTAAGTGATCAATGAAAGAGCCTGACCATATTTATGACATATTTCCAGTAGCAAACACTACTATAATTAAGTCAAATGATTCTGAAACCAGTCCGAATTCTGTCAAGATCAATGGCAGGACCACTCAGTCCCCACTTCCCCTGCAGCTACCTGACAAGACATCTTCAGATAGGATCAGACATTGGCTGAACCTGTGACCATCCAATTATATCCCTAAGCCATAATAAACTCAGACTTGATGTTCCTGGCAAGCTTTTTGCCATTTTCCTAATATTTTATAGAAAATAAAGACAGGAAATCCCTAGGTTTAGTATTGTGATAAGAAGAAAAAAAAACAGAGACAATTCAACATAACAACTAAAAAATAGGCTTTAAACTTAATATTCCTGCAACCACTTACCAGCCTTATGATCATAAGCAAGGTGATGTTTAATTTCCAGCACCTTAGTTTCTTCAACTAAAATTACCTCAACCAGAGCGCATTACTCATATTCTTAGGTACATAACAAAATTTATATATATGTGTGTACATATATACACACACACACATATATGTAATTTTAGAATGAGTCCAAAAATGCCCACACTAACAAATCATCATTTGTGCTGTAAATTAGCACCATTCATTCAAGTCCTGGCTGGTCCACTATCAATCCTGACAGCTTCCTTCGGGTTCCTTAGCAATTCTCACTCCTAGTTTCTAATTCACTGGCACTAAGTCACTGACTGTATGTTTCTCGAGCTTTCTGTTTTCATTACACATGTTGGAGTGCCTGCTTTTACATGCCCATCTTTCCATTGTTCATGGAGCACAATGACGCTCCACATATTACAGTTATTATCATACACATGACATTCCTAAGTTCTGATGATAATAATATGTACCAACAGAGTTGTGAAACATTAGACAAACCTACGTTTAAGTCATTATGATAAATGCAACCTATGTTTCAACTGATTTCCATTATGTAATTCATGTGATGATTTACACTAAAAGCAAAATTGTATCAAGATGTGTCTTAATTATATTTTTTACTAGATCTTATGGAATTTCATATTTTACATATGTAGTCTCCTAGTCAAAAGTCATTTAATATTGATCTTATTTATATGTAGATCTCCAGCAGACATGGTATCCAGTAAAACTGAATAAAAGCCCTAGAAATTTAGGGGGAGAAAAAAAATCTGTCACTACTTTCACTAACTTTCAGTACTGATCCAGATCATTTTGTTTATGACAATGCAGCCATCATGAAGTTAATTCACCCAAAATCATACTAAACACATGCTTCCACTCTGTGACTTAGGATCCTATAATTTAAGAACACACAGATTTTCTAAAATCTTGAGCACACCTCAGTTTACGGAAATTCCATAAGATTCAATAAACATTCCAAAATATTCAGCCAAAATCAGCATGACTATAAATATATTGGGTTGTTTATGCCCAAAGCGACACTGGTAGGTGAAAGGCACTTAAAATTACTGGATCACACTGGGTAATCAAGCTTATAAACGAAGTCTTTTAACAGAGCCAAAAGCAGGAGGAGACATTTTAAGTCAGAATAAAACCAAGACATTTATCAAATAAATTTTCCATTGAGTTAAGTTGAACTTGCTAGAGACATACATATTTTCAAATATGCCCCTCTTTGGGAAAGCCTATCCAATCTCATATAAACTATGAAATTCAACAGAGGAAGAAATATATGACTTTAAATGATAACAAAATAAATTAAAATGTTCAGGGTCTATTCCACCTAATGGGTTGGCAGTGCTGCTTCATTTTAGGGAAAATTCTGTTAGGTTCATTCTATACACATATCAGAAGGTTAATATAGGAATTCTAACATGGTTGATAACTCAAAAATTACTGCACTCTCTGATCCAAGTTATGTTTAAAACAAAATATGTAGCTGATTAATGAAAGTCATTTTCACTAAGTTTCCAGGCCCAAAGGAACTAAGCAAGGTTTATCAAAAATGGAGTGAACATTATTTTCCATAACTGGAAAAAAAAAACACATGGAGAAATCAACTCCAGATATTCAGGATATCTGTATTTGTGCCTGTAACCCACATGGAGCACCTGGTTCCATTCTTAGCCAGCCATCAAGTCACTGGAAGGCAGTGGAGAAGGCTGAAGTAATTGGATTCTTCCCACTGATATGGAATGCCTAAACTGAAGTCTCAGCTCCCGTATTCTGTCTATGTGGCTGCACATTTGGTCATCTCTGGAGTAAAGAAGGACATAAGAGGTGGTCTATCCATCTTCTTTCTCTATCTCTCCCTCTCTCCCTTCCCATCTCTCTCCATTCCTTCTCAATCTCTAGCTTCATTTTCCCTACACTCATTTCATCCAACATAAATGAAAACCATTTACATTGACAACTTCTAAAAGAGAATGTGAGTGATCACCCTTGGATCTCTGTCTAGCCCATGTGAGAGGCCTAGGCACACTGTGTCCCCAGGGGAACCCCCTGATAGTAATCTTGGCTAACCGGGACTCCAACCTGGCCTGTTCACTGGACATGCAGAGAGCAGTGGGTCACACCCCAGTCTCTCTTCTCTGTCTGGGGATGAGCTGTGCTAGGATTTCCTGATAAGCAACTCTAAGGAGTCAAAAGCTACCCATAACCTGCTTGCCAACCACATGTGATGAATATCACCCAGGGCATAGCTGTTAGCCTAGGTGCTAGCTTTTTTGTTCTTTGAGTCAAGGTCTACCTGCCCAAGAGCTGAGGCTCAGCTTCCAGCCCTGCATGAGAAACATGATTTTTGAGTTGGTTGGAGGGTCCAGAGAGATAGGTATGCTTACAAGCCACTTACAATGTCACTATTGGATGTGAGAACAATTGGACTGCCCTTCTACCTTCCCCATTTTCTAATACTATTTAAGCCTGTAAGTTCCAATAAATGGGCATCCTTCACCAGTTTGTCTCTGTGGCCTAAGAATATCGCCATCCCACCCTCAGTGGTCTCAGGGCCTGCGAGCAGGAGTAAACCCCCAAAAGAGAAGATAGTCTCCTCACCGTATAATGAGTTCCTTCCCCAGTCTTAACTATCTCAGTAAATAAGATAAAAATCAACACAGTTACTCAATCAGAAGCTCCAAATACTGAGTGTGTGTAACTGTAATTTTCAAGTAAAAATTAAGAAATCTTTAAAAATAAAAATTAAAGAAGAAATGAAAGTGGTCAAGAAAAGGCAAATATTTTCAGCTTTGTAAGTATGTCCAGGTTGTTCACTGCATGTCTCTCAAGATGGCTTATATTTGCTGGGGGAGCTGGTCTTCAGTTTAACGAACTGGTTTCACGGTAATGACCATTTGTTCCTCTCAGGGATTTGATTTTCACTGGACTTGCCACATGGACTTGTCCTTTGCTAATTTCTAGTGGGCTCTGCCATCATCAAGCTTGGTTAATAAAGGCTCCATAATACAAAATAAATAAATGAAAATAACAATTAGAATTTTACTGAATCTATAATAGGGCTCTTAACCTTGATGAATGTTGTGCTTTAAATTTCATTTTTAAAATTGTGTGAAGAACAATTCGCAATATGGAAAGGAAGAAGGAAGGAGGGCAGAAGTATCAGTATGCTCCAGAATCTATACAGTGAAACATGAACATTTTTTATTTTATATAAATAAGTTAAAATGTAAACAAATATATATGTGTATATATACGTGTATGTATACACACCCTAAGAAAAGAAACCTATAATGACTTTTTCATTTCCCTAGTGTGTGCATATATATATAAATAAAGAAAAGTAATAACAAATATATAACCCACATCAATTGAAGCACAAGACCATCTCATATAAAAAGGATTATATTAGTATAGACATGTTTTGGCTTGATTTTTCCCAGTTCTTCGTCTCCTTCTACACATGTCCCAAATACCATTTCTAAACAACCCACATTAACAATAGCACATATATTTTTTCCTTATTTCACTATTTGCTTATATTTGGCATATAGGAAAATAAGACACAGAGACGTTTGTCCTATGTTGCCAAAATGGAATTAAGCACAGAATTTTGCAAGTTTTTTTTTCTCTGTATGCCACCAAAATTCCTCCAAGTAGGTATAAGGGTCTATTGTATCCTTTTCAATTAGCCGTAAGTGAATATACCACAACGCTTCCAACATCACTTGTATTTCGAAACAGTCACTACTTCTAGTTTTTTACTAATGTAATCAACATTGCAAAAAATATCCTCACGTGCAAGCCCTGCAGTTATTCAAAGATTTCCAGACTAAAAAATGTTTAATTAAATGGGGTTTTTAATTCTAAGAAATGCTAACACATTACTTTCAAAGAGATTAAAACCACTTCTATTTCCAGCACTAAGTATGTGCAAGTGTCTTGCCTGCATTTCCATCAGTCATTAGTGTGCTTTTTATCTTGTGTCAGTTTGATAATTATATTTAAGCATGAATTCAATTGCATCAAAATTAATTTTCATATATATGTATATATATAATATATATATTTAGTTTCACTTTCCAGGTCACAAAACTAGATAGCAAAAATAGCAATGATCCTTGCAAACTGATACCATGCGTTTTAATTATTAAATTTTGTTTCTAAAGTATAATAACCTTTTTATTAATGCATAGTAACTTTATTTATTTTCCACATTGTAGCATTTAATGTATGTATACAATACATAATGAAAATGATAAGTGACCTGTGTATTGTCTCAGGCATGTATCAATCCCCTGTGTTTTTATGCAAGCTATTTTGAAATATTTGATTAATGATTCTCAACCATTTTAGAAGTTATTCCTCTTGACTTGGGAAAATCTTAACACTGTAAATTGGATGATTTAAAGGAATCATTTAATTCCTCTGAGATGGAAGGAGTCAAAAGGAAACTGCCATATACTGATAATTGGTCACGCTGAATAACATGCATGTTAGTAACATTTAAGCTGTTATATAAAGCTTTCTGAAGTGAAAAAAATTAAAATGGACAAAATTAAATGTAAATCACTGTTTTGTTTTATATCAGATGAATGAAACATTTCATGGATCTGAATTGCGAAGACAGTATGTCAAATCTCATACTGTTCAAGTAAGGTATGTACAACTGACTGAAAGGCAGCAAGAAGAAATTTTTCCTTCATTTATATATTTCATATGCAACAGAAAAAGTTCTGCTTGACATACAACTGAAGGGTTGAAATAAATTGAAATTTGGTGTCTCAAAACCCTTATTAACATCCCAGCATGGTGGCCTAGTGGCTAAAGTCCTTGCCTTGCACACGCCAGGATCCCATATGGGCACCAGTTCTAATCCTGGCATCCCCGCTTCCCAGCCAGCTCCATGCTTGTGGCCTGCAAAAACAGTCAAGGATGGCCCAAAGCTTTGGGACCCTGCACCAGAATGGGAAACCCAGAAGAGGCTCCGGGCTCCTTGCTTTGAATCGGTGTAGCTCTGCCCATTACAGCTACTTGGGGAGTAAATCAGCAGATGGAAAATCTTCCTCTCAGTCTCTCTTCTTCTCTGTATCTGACTTTCCAGGAAATTTTTTTTTAATCTTTAAAAAAAAAAAAGTACCTTAGTCACTAAGCAAGTGATAGCACAACCAGTTGGGATGTCCACAACCCATGTAAGCATTCCAGAATCCCAAGCAAATTAACATATTTATTATCCCAATAAGCAGTGTCCTTCTGAATGAGCAATATTATAATCCTATATTAATCACATACACTGGAGAAAAATCATACAGGCCAATACATACTCTGTATGGGCAGCTAGGTTCCCTCAAGGAAGCATATTGGGTTTTCTTCTTTATTTATAAGACCAATGATAGACAGTACCCGCCCTGCTGTGCATTATATGTGTTGTGTTTCTCTTCGTATTTGTCATCAGTATTATTAACTATTAAATGTTATAATCAAATTCTGCGATTGATGCTGCACAGGAGCTACAGAATGAAGAGTATAAGAATTACCTTAATTATCCCATGGGAACTCAACTCAGGATAAGATACAGCAAAATAAGACCAAATGTCACCTTTTAAATGTTTATTTAGTACTATCAGTTCTACTGAATTCTCAAGAGCAAGGTAGGGACAGAATTTCTCTGGAAAGAGGAGACAACATACATAATGGATTAACAAACAATGTAGTAGAAGGTATTCTTTAAATGCACTAATTTCATTTGTCAATGGGAAAATTGCATGAAATTCTAGCAAAAAATTCTGAATGTGAATACTCTACAATAATACCTATAGCTGGCTTGTAAAAGTTACATCTGTTTGGAAATATGGAGCCCTTGTATGCAGAAACTACAAAAAAAAATACAACATCTGAGAAAGAACTTGTGAAGTCAGTCCTATCCATAATAGCTACAAAGGTTTCAGTGGGAAGGATATGAAAGATCTCTGCTGTGAAAATCACAAAATATTAAGGAAAGAAATAGAGATACCAAAAAAATGGAAAGAGCTTTAATGTTCATAAATTGAAAGAATTACTATCACAAAAGCGCCCATACTATTCAAAGCAATTTACAGATTCATCGTGACCACAATTAAAATATCAAGGATGTTCTTGCTTTTTTGTAAGACAAAGATGGCAAACTTAATCAAGATGATTGTAAGCTTAACTGTTCTCTTTTTTTTCCCCTTGGTTATTTTCCTTTTAAATAATTTTTCCTTTTTAATTGATTTCTAATTTTTAAAGCTACTTATATAAGAACAGAATTATCTTCCCTCCCTCTCAGATTCACATTCTCTGCTCCCTTATTTTCTAATTTTTATTTTAATTCTTTCAATGACATACTTCCAATTTAGATAATCATAGCCTTAATCCTCCACTAAATAAGGAATTGATTGAATAATAAGTAAAATAGTATAGACAATGACTATAAATAACAATCAAATCTCAAGATGTGAATTTCACTCATGTATATCACATTTTTAATGTTCTCTAATTATGACAAATCAATGGAAACATATGCTATTCATCTTTGGGGGATTGTGTTATATCACTGAGCATAATGACCTGCAATTTCATCCATTTTGTTGCAAAAGACAGGATTTCATTCTTTTATATTGCTGAGTAGTGTTCCACTGTGTTTATATATTTTTTCACATTTTTTTCTTATCCAGTCATCAGCTGAGGGACATCTGACTTAATTCCATGTTTTAACAATTGTGAACTGAGGTGCTTTAAATGTGGTGGTTACAAATAACTCTTCCATATACTGACTTAATTTCCTCTGGTTAAATTCCTGGAAGTAAATGATTGGGTTACATGGCAGATCTATTTTCAGACTTCTGAGGAATCACCATACTGTCTTCTATAACTGTTGTGCTAGTTTACATTCCCATAAGAAGTGTAATAATGTACCCTTTTCCCATGCATAATGGCCAACATTTTTGTTTCTTTGTTTGTTTTGGTTTGGTTTTGTATGCTATCCATTTGAAATATATATATGTGTGTTTGTGTTTATGTATGTATATATATATGGAATATGTAGGTATATATTAAAATTTTACAGAAACTAAAACAAAAGAAGGCTAAGATGGTACCTCGACAAGATGCTTGACAGATTTAGTAAATAATATAGCAGTAATTTGAACACAAATGATTGCATCTAAATTTTGTATCAGTCTTTCTCACATGAAGGCTTTGCTTCTTTTCCACACAGTAAAAAAAATGAATTAGAATCGTACATTGTTCCCTTTTATAACATCTTCAAAGTTTCCCACAGTAATTCTGAGTGATTCCTTATGGTAATACAAGTGACCCTACTTAACCTGGCCCTTGCCCCCCACCCTCTATCTGTCTCTCTAGACTCATCTCATGCCATCACCTTCACTCAAACTTTATATTCATTACTCATCTGCTACTATTCCTCCATTCAACTAACTCTACATGTTCCCATCACGGGGTTGTCAAAATAAACCTACACTAATAAACAGAAAAGAAAATGTGATTAAAGGGTAAAGCAATGAGAGGAAAGAACCCAACTCTACTGAAACAAAGGGCGATAGGGTTTTACAGATATAGGTAAAAAGCAAGCGCTTATAACCATGTTTAGCTTCTAATTGGCTTTACCACAGGAAAAGTCAGGAAAAGTAAACATCTGTTTTCTTAGTGTCACAGAGTAGTTTTACAGTTCCCAGAAAGCTGCTCGCTGAAGTTAGGTAGGTCCCACTCTCCCATGGAAGTTGCAAAGGAAGAGGACTGTCTAATATTTACTGATGCTGCAGGGAACATTGAGCCCATGTTGTCCAGGGTCTTTGCAGTGGTGTTTCCTCCTCCTGGAATATTCCTCTCCCAGATCTTAGCATGACTCCCTTCTTCTCATTGTTAAGATCTCACTTCAAAGAGGCTTTCTCTCCTACTGGAATATCAACAGGATCCTGTGGTCAGCCTGGCATATTATCTGGACTGATAGAAATTTGTCAAGGGAACCAATGAATGGCAAGTAAAGAACAGAAAGGAAAACTTCCTGTTACAAAGCATTATAGGCATTTTGTTACACACGACGGAAGAGTTTTTTGTGAATCATGAGAAGACAAAATTAAAATAACTCATGTTTACAGTGAAAAAGAGGATCATATGACCCCATTGATATCAGAATTGCAGTACACAAGTCTAGATTTAGCTTTGGTTTCAGATTGTTATTTGACCCAAGAGATAAGTTCAGCATGACCCCTGTGGCTGGACAAAATATTTAAAATAAAGTTACATGCTATGTCTTGTCTGCTCCCTAAGGGAAAGAGAACTGTCCCCTTACAAATTAGATAAGACCTCTGAGAAACAAAAAGCAGAAAAACAATGAGAATAATTAATACATTTGCATTACATTGCTAACAATTTAATATTATGTGAAGGAAGTAAAAATAGCATATTTGCAACAACCTAAGGAAGAGTTTCTGATACATATATATCTTAAAACATAAAATGATACAGTGACATAAAAATAGCTAATTCTTTTCTTTTAAATTATCTTCAAAATTACAGTAATAAAAATTATGCTTACTCAGAAAATACCAGATCCTGGACATGGTTTTCGTTTTATGTTCATGAGTGTTACAAAGGCTTGGAAGTAGTTTTTAGACTCCTCCTTGAGTTACATAGATTCACAATTGCTCTTCATTTTCAAACATACAGAGTCTTGCTTGAGGAAAAGTAAAGAGGCACAGAGACAGAACAAAGCATAATAGAGACTGTATAGTCAGCACAATTATTTGCTTTTAAAATTTCTGGCTTATACATTGCATCTTCAAGTCAGAATTACAAATGAAAGTGCTCTATGCTAATATTTTTGCTGTCAGTACTGATTCCCAACAGATGAGAGACAAAGGACCCACTATTGCAAATTTTGCCTCCATTAAAATAAAGGAAAAATAATAAAGCAATTCTCTCATATTATCTGTTACTTTGCTATTTTCCACTGGCCCTTCCTATAGAGTTCTCACTTCATTCATAACACATGCATATATTTCATTAAGAAATGATTTTGCACAGTGCTTGAGATTTGAATACACACGTTATCAAAAGATGCTTCCCATATATAGTGGTATTTACAAAGACACAGTAAATAAGACTGCCATTTCAGAGATGAAGAAGCTTGGGTACAGCAAACAGGTGTCTCTAGTCAAGGAGCTGGCCAATTACAAATCCAGCTCTCCTGAATGTAAGTCACACTCTACCGGGAGTGGGAGACATCTGGCCTGTGGGCCATATAAGGCCATATTCCTTAGTCTGGTCCTGCAATATAACCACAACAGGCACTCAAAAATGTACAGCAGACAAACCTTAAGTTGATAATTTTATATGGACTATGAATAATGTTAAAAATATCCCAATGACCCTTGACACTGCTTCTGCTATGTCTATCAAGTACTATTTCCATTCTCTTGGGAAACTAAGAGAGTTAATTAAGTATAATATAATTCCACTTTGTCATCACCTTAACCTTTACTTGTGAAGGAACTGCACATCTCTGCCCCTGAGAATAACAGAGTTCAGCATTTAAAGCATAATTTATTTTCCTGTTTATGTTTTGCAGCCGATCCAAAGGGAAGGTGTTAATACATGCTGTGCTGAAGTTTGAATCTTTTTATAAAAATAATGCAGCGAAATATTGGGATAAGGTTGAAAGCATTTTATATCAAAAGCTAAAGGGTAAAATTGGGTCTTTACTTATAGATTTTTCTACATTTAGATTTTCAGGTAAGACTTTATATGCTTTTCATCTTTTAGTATGGTGCTTTTTTGTACAGATGAAAATAGCATTTCTATCCAGAAATATCATTTAATGTTTAAGGACAGCTAGTTTTAACCATTAGTAATATTACTTTGTCTTAAATATTCTGTGTGCCATGATACCTTCCTCAATATTCTTTAGCTCAAGAATCTAGACTCAAATTTCTGAATTTTAGAACTCTTTTAACATCCAACTTACTTCTCTATGCACCATTAATGGACATTATCTCTCTTCTCATGTATAATCCAAATCTTAATCTTAGTCACCTGACAGTATTCTGAACATTTCTAAAAGATGAGGATCATAAATGTCTCTCAGATCTCGATCAAAGGGTAGTCACCAGGGTACACAGTTTGGAATTGGGCCACGAGTTATCTGCTACAACAAATATGCACAAGGACAAAATGCTAGTGCTACCCTTAAAGGAAGGACTAAACTGTTCGGGGCAGAGAGGGGAATGGGTTTTTACACCAATGGTTCATTTGCATGAAACATCAGAAACATCAAAAACAAGATCTGAACATACTTTACCACAACAAAAAGCCATTGTGTTATAAAAACATGACTTTTCCTGGGATATTATATACTCTTTCTTAGAGCCTTCTTTATCACAGAGGTCATCCTGTGTGTGGTGACATCAAAGGAATGGAGAATTGGAAATTAACTGTCCAATTTGAAGAGATATTTTTCTACAAAGGCTTATTTTTAGAAACTCATTTGCTAAGATATGAACTCAAATTTCAAGATGTAACTTGTATTATGTTCCTAAGCATTATAAAATTCCAAAAAAGTGCTGCCTGAGGCCCATTTTCAGATTTGTGGTTTTGCTTAGTAGTTTTACATTAGTTTCACTTGTTTTGATGCCACCCTAAAATTTCATGAAGATCAGTGAGTGACTGTTATATATAGCATCTCAAGAACAAATGATGCTTTGTGTTTTAATCTCTGTGTTTAATTAATCCTTTACTCTTTCCTGACTACCTTTCATCAAAAGCTAGATACCTCAAAAAATTAAACAAAAGCTATACAGGTACAAGCTTGAACCAGCAGCTGACCAAAACAGTTCTCCAAATCACAGTGAAGCAATTGGACACCTGGCTCTCACTCAAGTCACTCTCAGGATGAGAAATCCTCACTGATTACCACATGAATGAAACTGTGTCTCATGAATCTGTGACAAGTTTATCTAGGCAGTCAAGGATACTGTTCATACGTCATTGAACAACCTGGCCTTCTTATGTGACTCGTTAGTTCTATTACTTAACACCAGTACCTACAAATGTCAAGGTTGTGAGTTTTATTTCACACAACTGCTAAACAGAGGGAAAGGTTGCTACCACCTACAGCATGGGCTTACACATCATTGCCCAGAGATATTAGCATCAATGCTGTAGTACTGTGCACAGAAAGAGGTGACACAGCATAGTGGCTAACATCATGGATTCCACTATGAGATTACCTGAGATTTTAATTTCAATGCCTTTGTATATTAGCTGTGCAACTTTGGAAAATTTACTCAGTCCACCATTTATTGTCTCATTATGAGAATGATGATGAGAATTTTAAAAGTAGTTCACTTAATCCATTGTACAAATGTCAAATACCTAACACATACAAAGCACTTTAAAAAGCAGGATTGGTATAAAGGAAGAATTGTGAGTTTTGAGGTTTTTACCCATGAGGAAAAACACAGTCCAAATGTATGTCTTGTGGATTCTAAATTTGTAAAGCAACCAGATAAATAGATTATTGAAAGATAAAATAAAGGGATGGAGGAAGAGAGAGAAGGAGAGGAGGGAGAGAAAAGGGGAAGAGGGATGGGAGAAAGGAAGGAGAGAGAAAGAAGGGAAGGAGGGAGGGAGGGAAGAACAGGTGCTGAGCAAAAATTATCGAAAGCAATTCACAAAAGGTATTAAATTCATTCATTTTCCTGGTGATTTGAATTTAGAAGGTAATGTAAGATCATTATTTTTCAAACATTTCCATAATTTTCAGGACCTGGACCACTTTTTAAAATAAGTAATGAAGAATTTAGGTATCTTTTTCAAAAACAAAAAAGTAAATACTAAAGTTTTGTTATCCTCTGTTCTAATTTATGAACATAGAAACATATATTCAGGATTGAATAATATGGGGCAGGTATTGTGGTGCCGTGGGTTAACATCCTGCTTGTGACTCCTGATCCACACAGAACTCCTGTCCCAGTCCCAGCCATGCTGCTTCTGATCTAGTTCCCTTCTAATATGAATGGAGTCAGCTGATAATGGCTCAGCTTCTTGAGTCCTTGCCACTCATGTGGGAGTTCCTCATTCCTGACTTCAACTAGCCCAGCTCTAGCCATTGTAGCCATTTGGGGACTTAACAGAGAGATGATAGCTCATTCTCTCTCTCTCTCTCACTCTCCCTCTGTTTCCTTTTTAAATTAAAAAATATACATATTTTTAAAAGACTGGATAATAAGATAATTATGCATATGCAATAATGTATTTACCAAAACAAGATTAATATTAAAATAAATATATTCATAAATGTAAATATTTCTACTTTCTCTCCTTAACTTGTAGATATTGCAATGCTGGAAGCAGAAAATCTTCTCAATACCTGTAAGTATATCAACCAAGAGTTATCATCCTAGCAAAAATTAATTCCTCAGATGCCAGAAAGGATTTTCACTTGAGAGTCAATATAGTGGTACAATAGGACACCTGCTTTTAGAAGTTTGTATGAAAGACACTGTAGTTGGTCTGATACCACAGCTTTAAGTTAAGCTACACGTAACCACATGGAACAAAGTCTGGAGACCAGCAGTAACAACTAGGAACTTAAGAATTTGAAATGAAACTCATAGTTTTTGAGTCTCACATATGCCACTTAAATAGCTAGATGAACTTACTTACACGTTATTTAATTTTTCCAAGGCTCCATTCCAATTGTTGTGAAAATAAAGTAGAATAATACAAGAAAATCATCAAAAGGAATGTATGGCTCATAATAACCACTCAAGAAATGTCAATTATCTGTATTTTCTGTTTTCCTCTTGGAAACTCCAAGTCCAGGAATTTACTATAGAATTCAGTCTTAACAGCCAACAAAGCCTAGTGTGCAAAACAATAATAATAATAATAATAATAATAATAATAATAATAATAATAATAATAATTTGCCATAGATGTAAGGAGCTTTTCTGTTACTGACCAAAGACAGTCTGCTTCCATTTTCCCAACATCTGCCCTGGGAAATGTGATCTCCTGGTCACAGAAACCTGGAGCAGGCTGCCAGGAAACACACTGCTTTTATCTGGAAACTGAGATTGGTAGAGAGCGCTGGATTAGAGAAATCACCCACAAGAACCAGGTGACACCAACCCCAGGCTCTCCATCTCCCAAAGTCATAGTGCAATTATTTCTGAGAAGCTTGACCAAAAGTTAAATGCAAAGACATTCTTTGATTATCTTGCTTTCTTGTAGATTTTAACTCAAAAAATCTCAAGCATGTTAATAAAACACTTTAAAACCGATCATTCCAATGAAAGTCAATATCGATAAATATCAAAATTCACAACCAGGAATTTGTCAGGTTCAAAAAAATTCAATCAAGTAAGTAATAGAAGGAGTGTTAAGAAAGATTGACTCAATTCTCTGCTCTCACAGTTAGAACACTAAACAACCATCATTTCAGTATTCTAAATCCAACTTGACCAAACTAGGAATTTAATCATTTTTTAAAAGGAGGGAGGGGTATAAAAAATGAACAGGGTTAAAAAGAAGAGTTTTGGTATGTGACAAAGAGTGAATTAAAATGTATTAACAAGGCAATGGAGAGGTAATACAGACTCACAAGACTTGCTCACGTTCTGAAGGTATTAACCAGCAAACTTCATTATAACTTTAAGTCCCTGAAATGTGCTGTATGATCTCTCTTGATATTATAACAAAGCTGTAAGGTAACAGGTAAGACTGGCAGCAACAATAACAAGGTGAAATACCAAAATGCTGGCAGAAAGCTTGACAAACAAAACAATCATGAGCAAGTGAAACTTTAGAATGGGCGTTGAGGCGTGGATACAAATTAGTTTGGAATTCTGAGTAAGCAGAAACTGGGAACTGGAGTCACATGGGTGACGTTCTGCTCATCTTTGTTTTCATATTCCTCTGGTCGAAGTTGAGTAAAAGCAAACTTCCCTTAGGAGTGACCCAAAGAGAAGGGACCCAGAACTGCCTCTGGTTACTGGATTATGTGTTTTTTCCTTCACAGTGTCCATCATATGGGAGTGAAAAGATAATGGGAGAGCAAAGGAAATCACATTCAAGGGGTCCCAGTGAGAAAGAGGGGTCACAGAAGCACCCACTCGGCAGAGTGATTTTTATGAAGGGGCTGCCCTGCGGGTTTGAGATTTGGGCTGCACAACAAAACAACCTAGAATCAAAGGAATACGTGAAGACTTACAGAACTAATTAACAACTCGAAAGAAATTATGTTACCCTCCACTGTGCCTTTAATGCCTTCCTCAGGGAAGACTATCTCAAAGTATATCTAGTGGCGGAAAGTCAGTATCTCCCTGAAACAACTGACCATTTCACTTTCCCAATCATTTCTTAGCCTTAATATTGTTGTTACCAGGGATGTTCTGTGTGTTAGATGAAACCGATCACTACCTTCGTCTGTACCCACGAGGTAGTAGTCGTCCCTCTCCTCCAAATGTGACAACTCAGAAAGTCTTTAATCATTGCCAAATATCTTCCAGAGAGAAAGTGTGGAAACTTTCTCTGAGAGCCACTGTTTTAATCCATGCCTCCTACATTGATTTTGGCCAATTATTTGCTCTCCAATTCTTTGGAGCATACTCATCACAGGAAAGTGATTCTATAATCAAATACCATTTTTATTTCCAGAAGACTCATGATTACATTGCTGAACCATTACTTTCACAAATATATTTTAAGCTCCTTTTATGTGGTAAGTTCATGGTAGGTTCTAGAGATTCATGTTTTTCAAAAACAAAACAAAATAGATATAGATATAGATATATACATAATATATACATGATTCCTCTGCTCTGTTTATTAATAAAATAACATCTACAATAAAAAGCACATATATAAGAGACAAGCTCAGTGCTTTAGTTGGATAAAAAACTACTCAAGGGAGCCTACGCAGGAGAGTCATTCAGATGGAGAAAATGCTAATGAAATTGTACTATTACTACAAATTTGCTTTAAACACTTCATGAGAGAATGCCACTGAATCACAGTCCTGACCCCACCAGCACAGAACTTTGGAAAGAAGTTGTTACTCCTTTTGTCCAAGTGCTGTGTGCTGTGACCTGAGTGTGAATACATTCCTATTCACACTGTGTCTCATCACTACCTCATTCACATTCATATTCATTCTCTTTTTCCTATGGTGATTTTCATAGACTCACTGTTCAAAAGCTGTCCACTAAAATGAAAAAAAAAACTTACCTGTGTAATTTAGTAACATAATTTTTGTATTCTAAATCAGATCATTTACTTCCACCTAGCTCCTTCCATCAGGTTAACAGGAAGTGCATTGTGAACCATGAGAATAAGGGAGGAAATCTCATGTCAGCAGTTTAATCCATCCTAATTTCACTTAAGATAGTGAGCTTTCCCTCGGTTAATACAGACACTATCTTTTCACTGCAGCAATGTGTGTGCACAAGCGCATCAATACTAATAAACTCTATTTTGATCAGGTTGTGGAAGACGCACAATAACTCCCACTGGCAACAAAATTGCAGGGGGCCTGGATGCTGAGGAAGGAGAATGGCCATGGCAAGCCAGCCTTCAACAGAATCATGTCCACCGATGCGGAGCCACTCTGATTAGTAATAACTGGCTTGTCACTGCTGCTCACTGTTTCGTAAAGTAAGCTCTGGCCCAGGGGAAGACCTCAGATCCACTCAAAAGCTGATCATACTTTCCAACACAATGGTTACACAACTGTATTGCCAACTGTCCAGTAGTAAGAGTACAGCCTCAAAATTGCTCAGTGATTTATCAGCAACATGGCAGATATGGGCAGACTACAGCAGGGTTTGTCAAGAGTGACCCTACAGACATTTTAGACCAGAAAGCTGCCCTGTGCCTTGTAGAATACATAGCAGCATTCTTTGGCATTAACAATCAAAAATGTCTCCAGTCACGGTTAAGTGCAGGAACAGAGTCATTCATGGTTGAGAACCACCAGATGGGAGTCACATCAGTTTTCTGAAGAAATTCAAGTCAAGATTGAACATAAATCTGCTATTGCTTTTCATCATTATTGCATTGAGTTTACTTGATTTAATCACATTTTAATTCATCCTGCAGCTTCCCAAATAAACACAGCTCTGGTTTACATGATGACTATCAAGCAACATGTTGTTGCACCCAAAGTCTCCTTTGTTCACCTATAATATTTTAACATTTTTGTTTGATGATTCTTTTTCATTAACTTCTGTTGGTTTTCTGTAGCATTTATTGAATTTAAAAAAAAAAACTTCTCTCAGACTTAATCAACTCCCTTCAAATAATGTTTAGCTGAACTTATTATTCCTTTAGTAAAACACTGAGTTTTTTTTATTGTTCTTTTAGTAAAATACTGTTTCTGGTATTTAAAATATAAATCATTGATTTACAAGTAAAAATTAAAATTAAAAATGCATTCCTATTAATTTAGAGTTTTAAAGATTATAAAATGCCTTAAATTATTTCCTCATCTCCATAAATTTATTCTATTCCATATATTTGTCCATTTTTAAAATTTATTATTAAAATTGCTTTCCTAAACCTCCTTGATCATTTACCATATAAAACAAGATAGTCTCACATCCAGGTTGTTTTTTCAATATTTATTTATTGTTTATTACAAGGCAGATTTACAGAGGGGACAGAAAGAGAGAAAGATCCTCCATCCGAAGGTTCACTGCCCAAATGGCCACAGTGGCCAGAGCTGAGCCAATCCAAAGTCAGGAGCCAAAGGCTTCTTCCAGGTCTCCCACACGGGTGCAAGGTCACATGGCTTTGGGCCATCCTCTACTGCTTTCCCAGGCCATAAACAGGGAGCTGGATGGGAAGTGGAGGAGCTGGACACAAACTGGTGCCCACATGAGATCCCAGTGCCTGCAAGGTGAGGACTTGGCCAATTGAGCCATCATGCCTGACCATCCAGAGTTTTATTTTTGCAAAATCGTTTATTGCTTAACAAAAATCTATTCATGTGATCATTATGTTGACTTTTTCTCTTCATCCATCTTCATTTTGATATGCTTTTAAGCACCATGGGGACTCAAAACAAACGTTGTATTTTAAGTAGCTTAAGATATAAGTGCTTACGACTCTAACATATGAGAATTTTAACGAGTATATCCACTTTTATAGTGCAAATGATCCCAAAGATTGGATTGTAAGTTTTGGGCTTCTCTTAAGTGACCCACAAATAAAACGAACTGTCAAGGAGATTATAATTCATGAGAACTACCGGCACCCTGCACATGACGACGACATTGCTGTTGTGCGTCTCTCTTCACCAGTGCTGTATGCAAGCAACATTCGAAGAGCCTGTCTTCCAGAAGCTAATTACAGGTTCCCACCCAATACTAAAGTCGTGGTCACAGGATGGGGAACATTAAAGTCTGATGGTGAGTTCCTAGCATTCCTGTGTCCCATGACTTCAATTTTAGGAGCTGTAAAGTACAGAAAATTACAACTAATTCTAAACATTTTTTTCCCATGGATCATTCTAAAGAGTATATAGTGTAACAGAATGAAAAGTATCCTAATATTCACACAGACACTATAATTTCATAGAGTTATTTACATAAGTCCCCATAAAATGGCATTTTTTTACAGAAATGTATTATCTGAGTAACTTATTTGCCTCCATTTCATTTATTTATTCATTCAACAAACATTTATGTTTTCTATGATTCTTGTATCAAGTATTATTCTAGATGGTTTGCATATGTTAATGGGTAAAATAAACAAATATCCCTGCATGTTTTCTTAGCAAGGGCAAGAGAGATTTTCTTCCTCAACAAAGGAAGACAGACAACGATATCAAATATAAGCACTAAAGTAAATTACAGAATATGTTTTATGCAAGTGTAATAAAAAATGGGAATTACATAGAATTGCTTTATTTACTCATTTGAGAGGAAGAAAGAGAAAGACAGGGGAATATACTCAAAGACAGGGACAGGGATGATAGACAAAGAATTCCCACCAACTAGTTCATCCCTCAGATGACCATGGGTCTGATCCAGGCTGAAGCTAAGAGCCAGGGGTTCAATCCAGGTGACCCGTGTGGGTGACAGGAACCCAAGTATTTGAGCTGTCATTTACAGCTTCCCAAAGTGAATATTAAATGAAATTTGAACCAGGAGCTAGAGTCAGGACTCAAATATAAGTAATGCCATATGGTATGTTGGGCTCTTACCAGCCCAGTCAAGTGCCTACTTCAGGAATAAGCATTTCTGATGCAATGGGTAGTGAAAAGGTAAGACTCTAACACATACCACAAATGAACTTGAAAAAAAGCTTGTGCCAAAATGGAACCAAAAGTGTGAGTTTATTTTAGTGAAATTTTTTTCAAATTCATTTTTTCACACACTGCAAAAAATTTTTTTACATCAAAAAGTTTTTGCCCCAAAATTAGCTCATACTTTTGATTCGTGTTTCACAAGCTTTTTAAAGTACCCTTGTATTTAAATACGTGCTTCCTCATGGCAATAGTAATATAAAGACTTATTGGCCATTTATATTCACAATTATATTTTAGTAGATGAAAGTACACCTAAAGTTTATTCCAAGGTTCAGCACTACAGTAAGAAACTAAGCTAAAGGCGGGAATAAAATTTGTAGTTCAGGATATAAATTTTAAATTTGGTTTTCTAAGATACACATGTAATAAATATAAAAGTTCAAAATAATTCAAAAGGAAAAATCCCATCACCCATAGGTGTACTTTTTAGGTATTTCTAAATATTTATATATAGATTTGTAATACTATCTAAATATTGTAATGTTCACAGTGTTCATAAACGTTAGTTATTTCCTTATTACCAAGACATGAAACCAGGCTTTAATTAAAACATGTTTTACATTGATTTGGAAGCTGTACATAGTGTTAAAGTTACACACCAGAGGGGTCAATATTAACTTCAATAAAAACTATAAACGTTTCTTCCTTTAGGGGCAAGTCCTAATGTACTCCAAAAAGGATTGGTGAAGATTATAGATACTAAAATATGTAACAGTGCAAAGGCATATGGCGGAGTCATCACACCTGGAATGCTGTGTGCAGGGTTCCTAAAGGGCAGTGTGGATGCCTGCCAGGTAAATACACCTCATTCATTTTCAGGAAAACTGTTTTCATTGTATTTTATCTCATATATATTTTTCAACGGGGCAGCGCAACATTGAGAAAAAGAGTTGAGAGAGAGACAGAGAAACAGAGACTCCATTCCCCTGGCTCACACTCCACATGCCTCCAACAGCCAGAGCTGGGCTAGGCCAAAGCCGTAGTCCTGAGCTGCATCTGCATCTCCCTCTTGGGCATCAGGGATCCAAAAAGTTGAGTCATCTGTCACTGTAGGGAGTTAGATTGAAAGCAGAGAAGCCAGGACTCGAACCAGCACTACCATGTGGGATGCAAGCACAGCAAGTAGCAGCTTAATGCACTGTGCCACAATGCCAGTCCTTTCCTTGCAATTTTAAATTTCTGATTGACCAGGTCAGTTTTCTCAATTTTTAATACCCTAAATATTTTTTAACATCTAAAATGTTTAAGTAAGATTATATTGATTTTTTTCTGTGTGCTCCTGGGAGCATTTTTTAATTTAATATGAAATAATTTCATCATTTTCCATATTCACTTCATATTATCACTGATTATTTTTCTTGAAAACAGGAACACTAGTAGCACATAAAATGGGATTCAGGATAATGATTATAAAATGAAGAAAGAAGGATTTATTGTCATGTAAATAGTGTGAATCAATGAAGACAATATTCATAACCATTAATACACCAAACATATGACATCCACATAACTTTTATACTCTGTATATTTATTGGGTTCCACAAACATGTGGAATTTGTTGTTCTGTAGCTAGCTTTCTTCACTTAACATAATGATTTCCATTTTCATCCATTTTTCTGTAAATGTCAGAATTTCATATTAATTACTATTTTAATAAATTTATTTCCTTCATCCACAATACAGAGTTGTAAGCATAGGACTATCTCTCTCCCTACCCCCTGTCTTTCCCGTGTTCCCCTCCTATTATTTGTCTCCAAATTATTGTAATAGCAGATTCATTTGTTTCACTATCACAAGTTTAACTTTCCAATATAAAACTGTATCATGACATGACAAGAACAAGAAAAGATAATAAAATAATGTAGTAGAAATGTATAATTTAAATAATAATGAGAATCCTACCATTATGTGGGAATAGACACATGTCATATACATCCATTGTTTTTCATTTTTCCATTATTTTCCCTTGTAGGGTTTATATGCTTTTGCTGTGTGTGCTTTGTGTGTTAGTTGCCACGTATCAGACAGAGCACATGATATTTGTCCTTTGGGGACTGGCTTATTTCACTAAGGATAAGGGTTTCCTGCTGAAACCATTTTGTTACAGACTCTCAGTTTCCATTCTTTTTTTTTTTAAAGATTTATTTATTTTTATTGGAAAGTCAGATATACAGAGCGGAGGAGAGAGAGGAAGGTCCAATGATTCACTCCCCAAGCAGCTACAAAGGCCAGAGCTGAGCCAATCTGAATCCAGGAGCCAGGAGCCTCTTTCAGGTCTCCCATGTATGTGCAGGGTCCCATGGCTTCGGGCTGTCATCTACTGCTTTCCCAGGCCACAAGCAGAGAGCTCGATGGAAAGCAGGACTACTGAGATTAGAAGTGATGCCATTTGGGATCCTGATGCATGAAAGGTGAGGATTTAGCTCAAGTTAATCAAAGTTAAGATACCTGCGTAGGTCAAAGAAGCATGGATAAAGAACACAGGCAAAAAAAAAAAGCTTTTAACAGCAGAAGAAACAGTATTAGATGCAAAATACAATAGATATTAAAATTATCCAGGATAATTAGAAGGATCAGAGCAAAGGAAAATGTAGCATTAAAGTACTCCATTGTTCTGGGGAAATGAGCCAAAGATAAACAGATGAAAACAATAAGTTTAGAGGAGATACAGCCAACTCACACAATTCCGGGATAGCAGTATTTACATGAGAACGGAAGCGCACAGTCCAGTTTGGGTGGTGGCTAAACAGACATTCCTTTACTCCATCACCTTCTGAGAAATAAGGGAGCTTGGGAAGATAATCAGAAGGTTTCTCTGCACACTGGATGCATAGAAATAATGTCTTCAAATACTCTTGGATATTAAAAGTTGAAACTTTTCACATATTTTTGCCATTGTTGTATTGCTATGTAAAAAAAGGCATACATTGACTTCTTTGATTCAAATCGACTATTAAAGGATCCAAAAATATCCTAAACTAAAATTATTTTTGTATTGAAACACCTAGGACTATTCTGTTCTCTGTCTTTGCTACAAAAGAGAAAATATGCACTGTTCGCCTTTAAACTGCAGTGATTATGTATTTCTGTCTACTTTTTCCTCCTCAGGGTGACTCTGGTGGACCACTAGTTAGTGAAGATTCTAAAGGCCTGTGGTTTCTTGCTGGTATTGTAAGCTGGGGAGATGAATGTGCTCTTCCAAACAAGCCTGGCATCTACACCCGAGTGACCTACTACCGGGACTGGATCATGTCCAAAACTGGCCTGTAATGCGGAAGTCCTCTGTGGATGATAGTGCAAAGGTTATGCCTTTGCTATGTATGCTTGTCATTCCCAAGCCACATTTAACTTAGATACCATATCACCTTATCGAAATTTTGATGTTGAAAATTTTAAAACAATCTTAGAAAAACGAAAACCTACTATTAGGCTTTGACAAACTTTCATTGAGACCAAACCAGGATATGCAATTTTCCCTTTACTCTTTTCCAGACAGAGAGTAACTATGTGAGCAAATATGAATTACAATTTATTAAAGAGAAAGCTCTGTTAATTTTCAGATCAAAATCTTGGGAAATCACTGACTAGGCAACTTAGAAATAAACCAACTTCTGAGTGTACAACTTTCTGCTCATAAGAAATGCATACAAAAAAGTCAGCCTACTGGTAGGTTGTAGTTTAATCATTTGCAGCAATACAGGCTATAAAAATTATTCAAAAATCTATTTGTACTTTTTCCAGTCCTTGTGCTAATGCTAATCCCTTCTCAATTTATGTTTTCCTTACCTTCAGTAACACAATATAATATAATAATCCATTGGTTGCAATGAATAGACCACAGTGTTTATTGACTTATTCCCATCCTCTCAATGATAAAAAATTATCCACCAGAATAATTAATATGGAAATTTGCCTTTGCTTCACTGTCCTTTTGCACATATAAAAAGTTCTGAGCTGAAGGCGTACATGTCTAAAAATGGAATATTATGCCAAACCTAGAGGTCAGTTGCAATCCAATATATTTCCTCTTTTTAATGGAAAACAGAATTAAATGTTTATTTAGGTACAAATGTTGCAACTAAAGCATGGCATTTTCATAATATACCCATTGCATCCCAACTTCTTGAAGATTATCATATGGATACCAAAAAGTATTTGCACAAAAATCAGCATGTGTTTTTTTTTCTTTTTTTTTTGAAATTTATTTTATTATTTTATGATACAGTTCCATAGTCTGGAATTTCCCCCTTTCTCCTCTCCAAATCCCCCTAACACACACTGCTTTCCCTTATATCTTTACAATAGTACAGTCCTTCATAAACAGACATTAAGTCCATCATTCTCCTATTTTAAGTGTATCTTGACATTGTAGGTACCAACAATGGCAGAGAGTTCACCATCCTATTGTCAAGATATATTTCACAGTTTCATTGGGGGTCCATCTTTGATTTGGAAGTAGAAATGTATACACATCTAAATATGATGGTCTCTACAGGCAGTCCAATTAATTTTCTCTCATCAAGGCAGTTTCTCAGAGAGTAGTCCACCAATATATCAATGGGAGCTTAATTTTTTTCTTTTTTATCTTTAAGATTTATTTATTTTTACTAGGAAATAGTTACAGAGAAAAAGAGGGAGATACAGGTGGATACACAGAGAGGGAGAAAAGGAAAAGGAAGGAGACAGATGTCTTCTATCATCTGGATCACCCCCACACGATAGTGATGACCAAAGCTGAGCCTGACCAAAACTGGAAGCCACGATGTCTTCTGGGTTGCCTACATGGGTTCAGGGGCCATTAGCAGGGAGCTGAACTGGAAATGGAATGGCCAGGACACAAACCAAGGTCTATATGGGATGCCTGCACTTGAAGAATTGGCCTGCTACACTACAGTCTGGCGCCAACTTTCTATTTTTCAACATTGACCATTTACAACTGCCACTCATAGCCTTCCTTACGATGTAATTTTTTCATGACATCCCAAAAATTTATTAATAATAAGATAAACTTAGAAGATAATTAATATTATTATTAATAATAAGATAATCTTAGAAGGTCACCAAAAAAATGTTTATTGGACAAGAATTGCCTAGCTTAGACCAATGCTCCACTTTTAACGGGAAGGGAGGGGGTGGAAAGCTCTTGGTTGCCATTTCTTAAAAAAAAATGCTGCATGGATTTATTTTTACATTTTTTTCACATTTAACATTTTTAAATTAATATTATTATTATCATCATCATCATCATTTTATGATACAGTTCCTGGGATTTCCCTTATCCCCACCCCAAACCTCCCCCCCACCTAGTTCCTCTATATCATTACTAAAGTATAGTTCTTCATACACAGTCATGGCCATCATTGAGGGCATGGACAATGGCAGGGAGTCCAGCATCCTATTGTCAAGATATAGTAAACAGTTTCATTGTAAGTCCATCTTTGTCTGGAAGTAGAAATGCATACTACATTGTATCCTCACATCTGGATGTTAGTCTCCATTTCACAGCTACTGTACATCCCCTCAAATGAAAAGTCATAATACAAAATGAACAATAGAAAGAAAAATAGAAATTTACAATGCCATGAAGTTAAATAACATGTTACTAGATATGACAGGCTCCGTTATACAGCTACAATACATTCCCTTAAATGAAAAGCCACAAAACAAAATCAACATCAGGAAGAAAAAAGAGATTAACAACACCATGAAGTTGAATATCATGTTACTAAATGACTAACGTGTAGCTGAAGAAATGAAAATCAAGAACTTCTTGCAGAAAATGATGCTACTGTATGAAGAATTTAATCAGAAGAAGGTGTTTTCCAGAGATGAAACTAACAGAAAACATCAAAACCCATGCAATATAGTTTCTGCTGATTTTTGTTGGTGAAATGTGTAGCCACCTATTATCCAATGCAAAATGTGCTGCTTTCATAATAAATACATTCTTATTCAAAATCATGTAAACTCATAATAAGTAAATATTCTAAGTTTTCATGTGTCAATAAAAACTCATAAAATTGCATGCTATACATATTGTGTTACCTTTGAAAAAGTTATATGTAAGCCAGCAGTACTCTTCCTTACCTGATTTCTTTGTTTATATAAACAGAATAAAATTCATATGGAAAAAGAGCACAAAATATTTTATTATTAACTTAGAAAATATTTTTAATATTAAGACAGATATATTTGAAATTTTAGGAATGTGCCCCTTAATTAGGCTAACTTAAGTGAACTGAGCTGCATGACACATTGTGTAACAGATTCTGCTTATCTCTGCACACAGAAACAGTAAGCAGTAACAACAATAATGAAGTTACTTTCCTGAGTATCAGCAACGCAACTGTAGAGTCTCTTAAAGTAAATTCAACACTTAAACATAAAGCTGTAAATCTGCTAAAAGGGAATCAAGGAGAAATCTTCTAGAGTTCAGGCTAGGATGTTATTTTTCAGATATGACACCAAAACCACAAATGTAAAAGGAAAAAAAGTGAAAGAAAAAAAAATCTCAAGAGCAGAACTAAGTGACAGGGACAAAACCAAATGGAAAGATCCTGCAATACAAAAGAACAACCAAGAAAATGAAAGAAATGAAAGGCCAAAGTATGAGACTACAGAAAATATTTGCAAAGCATGTACCTTATTAGGGTATAATAACGACATGCCTAAACTCCACAAAGCATTCATACAACTAAGTATATTGTAAAAACACTGATTTTAAAATGTACAAAGAGCTTATGTTTGTCTAATCTTCATTACTGCAATGAAATATAAAAGGCAGGCTACCCTTACAAAGAAAAGAGGTTTGTTTAATTTAAGGACATGTTCAGTTCTGGTTAGAACTTCATGATAGGCAAAACTTACACAAAAGTAAAATATCACATTGCCCAGTAAGAAACCAGTGAGGTCGGCTTCTTGAAATCTCAGGGTTCTCAAGAGAGCCATCTTAACTCTTACCATGGTGTTGTCCTAAGGACTTTCTCCTGGGCCACTCCTCAGTGTTTCCACAACATCCAGCTAAGGACCAAACCTTCAAAACATTAACCTTGGGATAGCGGAAGGGCAAGGTTGGAAGAAGTCTAAACATAAGCCATATCCAAGCCACATCATGGCCTGAATAGATGGTTTTCCAAAGACATACACATGCCTAACAGATACACAAAAAGATGTTAGACATTGCTAGTCATCGTGGAAGCACAAATTAAAACCTTCGTAACATATCACCTAAGATGACTATTCCCAAAAAGCAAAATCTAAGTGCTGACAAGGGAGTGCACAGAAGGACGTATTTGTACAGTAGTTTTGTGAGTGTAAATTGGTTGGGCTATTATGAAAACAGTATGAAAGAGCCTCAAAAAACGGAATTACCATACCATCCAACAATTCTACCACTGGGTACATAACCAAAAGAAATGAAATTACTATTTTAAACAGGTGTATGCAGCCTCACAATACTGCAGGACTCTTCATATAGCCAAGACAGAGCAAACAACTGCTGGAGAATAAGGAAAATGTCACCAAGGGGCTGTCATTGCAGCAAAGAAAGATAAGCTGCAGCCCACCTGTGACATTAGCATCCCACGTGGGCTCTGATTCAAGTCCCAGCTGATCCACTTCCAATACAGCTGTCTGATACAGGCCTGTAAAAACAAGTGGAAGATGAGCCAAGTGCTAGGGACCCTGCCACCCACATGGGAGACCTGATGAAACACCTTGCTCCTGGCTTTGGCCTGGCTCAGCCCAAGTCTTCATGGGCATGCGGGCAGTGACCCAGGCTGTGGAAGATCTCCTTCTCCATAACTTGACTTTCGAATACATAAATGAACATTTTTAAGAATTGGCAAAATTACACACACACTCAGCTGAGTATTATTCATCCATAAAAAGAAGAAAATCCCATCATGAGCAGCAATGTGGATAAACCTTGAGATCATGCCATGTGAAGTCAGACCCAGGAAAACAAATATTAAGTGATGAATTGATCACATGTAGTGACTTAAAATCGATGAATCCATAGAAGTAGAAAAAGAACAATTTCCAGGAGCTGGGAAATTGGAGGGCCTGGAAGATGTTCATCAAAGGGTACACATTTTGAGCTACAGGAGAGGCAGGTTTCAATGTACAGCATGGATGTTAACGGTTGTGTTTATCCTTTCACCTGTAATAAACATTATGTATATGTGTGTTTCTTCCAAATCATCACTTTATAGATATTAAATATATGTTGTCTTGGCTTTTCAGTTAAATATTTTAAATAAGAAAGAATA